GGATCCTTGGAAACTGTAAGTTGCACTTTTATTTTTAGTGAACATGATCACCGTTTTTACAGTGTGGTTTTTTTTTTAATGGCCATAAAAGTGCTGAGCCAAACATAGGAGGAAAAAATCAATTAAAAAATTGCCCAACGGGCGAGAAAATGTCGATTTCTTTGATTTCATTATTTTGACGAGCGCCTGATTTCATCATGATGCCACACATGCTAAAACTACAACTGGCTTGTTTGACATTGTGATGTATCTTCCAAAATAATAGCTGTACTCTGTATATTCTATTACCAACATCTGTGGTGCAGTGGTTAGACGCTTTGCCGCTGCACACAGAAGACCGGAGTTTGATTCCCGCGTGGAAAGAATTTTTATTGAGTATCTCGGTCTTTCCTGGAACGTTGTACATTTATTCTTCTCAGCTAGGGTTAGTCCTGACAGGCTCAGTCGAAGCCCGTCTCGTAAATGATTTAATTATTTGTGTCGGTGGGCGCGTAAACACCCTTTTAAAAAATCTCTGCAGTATACAGTGAAACTCGGGTACAACGAACTTGGATTAATCTAAAACTCGGACTCAACAAAGGAGACAGATATTCCAAGTTTTTATTGAAGTTAGCTAAATAACCTAGATTCAACGAAGACATTAATGACACACTGAGATTTACCGAAGTCGCTTGCAGATAGAACAGCCTGCGCTGACGTGGCTTTACGCATTTTTCTCTCGCTCGAAGCTTACATTTATCTACTTCATTCCTAGGGACCATCGATCGCACCTGCACGCTTAGAATGTGCACATCTTATGTGACGAATCAGAAATCTTGTATCACACCAACGCGTGTGTTTATGACACGTCCGTTATGGGCGTGTTATGGGCTAGTATGTGGTCGAATGGGCTACCAGTACACGTGTGGTTTTTACCGCGTATGTCTAGAGGTAAAAAAACGGAAACTTATTGTTCACATTGTTATAACGAACACTCGAATTTAACCAAATTGAAGGTAGGGCCCGATGACTTCATTATTTCCGAGTTACACTGTATCTGCTTTGAAACCCAGCTTATTCACTGAGCAATTTTGTGTTCTGTATTGAAGCCTTTTCAGCTCGGGAACAACAGCTCATGAGTAGCTTATTCTACAACGTCGGTGTCGGTGGCGTGGGTAGGTAGAAGACGGGCCACGACTCCAAGATTTGACGTTCCAACCTGAGTGGAGCTGAAATGTTCTCTTTTTCAGACTGTCATTTCCTGTCTGCCTGGTTGGTCTTTACGACTAGATTACTACTCTGAACTGCTGTCGCTCAAATCTGATTCTTCCAAGAGGCAATTTTTCACAGAAAAGTCCTCATCCTTGTCTGTTTTGTGGTCCCCGCTCTTGCCTTTGTCTTTGACAGATTTGCTGGGAGGGCGCTCAATGTCCCAAGCTTGTCGTTCCCCCGACCCCATGAACATGTACGCAGTACTACAAGCGAACGACATTGACCCTGCAACGATGACTATGGTTCTCCAGCTTGAAATTGACCGATCTCCCAATATCATAGAAGCTATAAGAGTACTCACTGCTCCCCCGGATGACCCAGTCAGTGAAATACCAGCCACGATGTTGGCGTACTGAGAAGACAAGTCCACTCGATTCACTTTATACCCGTTTACAGAAAGACCCCCAAAAGCGTAAGCTGAGAGAAAGAAAGCATAGCTGTATCTCCAATCTGAGGTAAATGCTACTGCTATCAAAGAGAGACCCTCGAGGTACCCGCCTAGAGCTTGCAACATTTTCCGAGTTCCGGTTGCAGACAAAATCTTGTCATACATCAGTTTATCAGCGAGGATGCCCCCCAGCATGACGAACACACTGTTCACCAGAGGTTGAGCAGACAAAAGGAAGCCGATGTCGGCGGCACGGAGTCCGTATATGTCGTTGAAGAACTGCGGCTGGAGCGTGGTCATCACGGAGACAACCCAGTATTTGTTGAACGTGCCCAGCCAGATGGCCCAGACGGGCTTGGAGAGGAGGATTCGTCTCCAGGGGATGTGACGAGCCAGTTGATCAGACCCGCTCTGGACTTTGGCCTGGTCAGGGTCATAGTGACACAACTCACGCTCTTCCAAGTGTGGACACTCGCTGGGCAGGCTGCAACAAGAGAAATGAACATTACACATTGAGGGCATCTCGACAGAAATATCATATTGTCATACCCAGCACACACTGCCAATCGAATTGAGTCCGGACCAGCCAGGTTTTCCTTCATGGATGGAGCATTTTGGCATAATACGACCGATTCGACACTCGACCGTGAAAAAGTAACGAGTTTGATTTTGAAGGTCAGAGCTGGATTTAGTAGAATTCGGTCGGTCGCAGTGTACCAAAATGGTAGCTTTTGTCCTATGCATGCCATTAAAGAAAATTTGGCTGGCCCATACTCAATGCGACGAATTGGACTAATAATGTGCGCTGGGTATTATAAAGCCGGCCTACAGTTCAGTCACTGCTCATTGCTTCAGAGTTCTTTCTTCTTCAGGTCCGTCCTGGACCGCACGAGAGGTCGGCTGTACTCTCTTTAAGCTACAAGGCTTGAATAGAGTCTTATAAAAGTCTAGCAGCCTTAGCATTTCAGAAAACATTATCATACTGTTATCAGAAATAATACTGACCACTGCCATGTCACCCCCACCCCCAATCTCCTGTGTAGGGGTTCTTTTAAAGGATCACCTGTCAGAGATACATAAACTAGTGACAGGATCTAGGTGGCTCTAGCCGTCATCCTAAAAGTCAACATGTTTGCTTCATTTAAAACCATTGAAGATGTGCATGTTGCATGTCTGAAGAAATGTTGCTTAGGGTTACTTTTAAAAAAGAGGCATAGCGTCCCCATTCATGAAGACATTTTCAATTCTGTTTTCTTTATCTGAAGCTTAAAAAGGCATAATATCAAAAACGCAAATTCGTGTTTCCGATTTGTGTATGATGGCTCGACATGTAGGCTTACAACATCACTTGGTTTGGTTTGCTGCTGATCGGACGTACGCGTCCACTTCTACGTCGACAAAGAGTTAAATCTGTAAAAGTCCCCAACAGCAGTAAAAGACACACAATGACATCATCACTAAAATACACGCTGGCAGTACATTGTATTATTAAAATACTCAAAGCGTCCTAAGTTTCTCCATGTGGATTGTAATATTTCTTACCTGTAGGCCGTCAAACTCATGACGCCCACCCATATGAGCCCAGCAGCTCCAAACAGGTAGAAGGCGAAGTCCCAGGAGATGAAGCAGATCGTGATTCCAGAGACGACGTTTCCCAGCGACGGACCAAGAACGCTGCCTAGTAGAACTGATCAGATTCGATAAGGTGCTATTAAAACACTCGCTCACACACACTAAACTGGGAACACTTTGAAGCAAGTTTTCTCAGCAACCACGTTTTTAGTTTTAACAAAATTTTGAGTGATGCTTAAATGCATCCTGGACGTTACAGACATATATCTATATAGGTGCCTGATAAATGCCTGGTTAATTAATTACTCGTTTCATTAATACAGCACGTTAGATTTAACAGTGCCCATAACCCAAACATATTGTGAAGAAGTAAATTAATGTAATTGCACATATGTTATCACAGAGGAGAAAAAATCCTTTGTTTGAAGTAGTGAGTTGTGGCTGTTCAACAGTGAACTTTGACCCCACGACAGCATGACCACATGGTGTGACGTCCAGTGGAGAGATCACTCAGATTTCTGCTCACGCTGAATGTCCTGGCAACAGCAGAAACGCGCGGAGCATGTTGATGCCTCGACTTCTCTGATGTTGAACTAAATCTACCATCTTTCGTTGGTGACGATGATCAAATGTTGTTGCGGCTTTTGATAAACACAGACCTAAGCTTCACGAGAAACAAAAGAATAGAAAAAATCCGCCGCGTGGGCGGGGGGAAATGCTACCTGTTTTGGCGATGGTGCTGTCAGCGCTAATTGAAGCACCAAAATGTTTTATTTATAACATGACTTACTTTTTTTTGTACAACGTACTTATTATTGCTCATAAAATAAAAAGTTTACAGACTTAAACGACTAGATCTTTTAACTCAGTCAAAAAGTGGTACCTTTCTTTTGATTGTCAGTATTATTATTAAAGTAGGACAAAAAGAAAGCTCAGCAACAGTCTGTAAGACATATCAGCTGAACAGTCCTTAACAAAATGTAGAAATTACTATATTACAATTGTACAAAGCCTAAAATTCTGACGTGTATTGCAATGAAGTGTTCAGACTTCCGTTTGATTTAAGAAAAAAGAATTACAGACGAAAACAGTACCTAGAGACATTAGTCTCTCCCCCCCC